ACTGTAAATGAATGGTGGATGCAGTCAGGGCCGGATTTCCCACAAGGCCAATCGATGCCCGGCCTCTGGGCAGGAGGGAGTAGAGGGGCAGCAGGGGTGTGAAATTCCTATCTCCCAACACCTGGGAAATGCAGTTCCGGGCGGGTAGTTGTTTTCTACATTTAGCCCTGCTTTGGACAAGCTTGGCTAAATGTACAGTGGGGGAAGCCGCCTCTTGTTCTGTACAAGTGATCTTGGTGATGTCGCCGAGATCACTTATATGCAGTCTGCATACAAGGGGGTGCAATGAGGAACCTGGCATTGGGGCAGCAGAGAGAGTAAAGTCGGCCCTGAATGCAGCCCCTCACATCCTTGCCTTCTGAACTCTAAACATTTTGCTGTCAGGCCAGGCCTTTTTTTTTTTTTTGTACATGGTGCCACCATTGGCGATACACCCACATTAATTTTGGCAGCAGAGATATGTGTACAGGATGAATTTCTATGTATGTTTCCTTGATTACAAACACATGATTGCATTACACCGCATATTGGGCTGCTGTATGATTCCTTTGGGTATTTACAGTTTCTGTATTCTTGTCTATTCTGCAGTGTATGCTTTTTTTTTTCCCACTTTGATCAAGTTGTGCTCATATTTGCTTTTGTGTGCATTAATATATTGTTACATTTCATGTGGAGGTAGATGACTACATTTTGGTCCCTTTAAAGAAACACCACCCATCCATTTAGGGCAATCTGACAGTGCTTTCAATAGCCCAGTTATAGCAAGGAACACTCACCCATCCATGTTCCCTTGATCATAACCTGAGTAAGCACCAGTGTCTGATGGTGTTGGAGCCTACCCTTGTGTCCCTAGCCATGCGACAGTGTTTAGGACTAAAGATTAGCTGTGCCGGTACAAGCACTGTCACATGGGGGATGTTGCATGTCCCCAAATCTGGAAAGTTCACTTTGTAAGAGCAATAAAGTGAGGTCTCTGATGCAGCAGGAAGCAGCAGGAGAGTGTGGATGGGAGTTTAAAACTTGGTTTGTCTTGGTATCAGTCTCTTGCAATTATCCATACAGCAGAACCCAGATGGGAGAGGGAGAAAAGACCAATGAGCCAATCAGTTGTTCCTCATTGCTCCTGCGGTAACAGTGGGCATGCTGATAGGAGGGGAGAGTAGAACTACAGAGGCAAACTCATGCGTCTGCTGCTTCTCCTTTTACTGTGTGGTCACAGGTTGGGGGGAGGTATGGGGAGAAAACATTTAAGTGGTAACTGCAGTATAGCAAAACCAGGTCAACTGCTCTGCAAAAAAGGGCTGTTATGTGTGGCAGAGCTGTGTAAACCTAAGGCCTGGAGTGACAGAAATATAAAGCCTTTGACAGGTAAAATAGGTCCCTTTCATGTATTTCATCTGTGTATTTGGCTGTTTATTCCATAACTGGAGTATAGTGTATTATGCTATCCCAGAGTTTAGGCTTACAAGGACTACAGTTCTTCTTTGACTATAACATCTGGCAATCTCTGGAGAGTTTCAGACATATCTGCCTCCGCCCTGGTATCTACACATGTGTCATGTTTTCTACATGGCATCTAAAATAGCTTTTTTGTAAACAGCTTTTTCTGAAACTGGAAAGCTTGTTTTGATAGAGCGCAATTCCAGAGGTCTCCATGGAATGTGTGTTTCTGCGGTTGTCCTATTTTTGTCCCTAGAATAACATGATATGATGGTGGCTCTTGCATAGCAATGATGCAATTTCAGCTGCCCGTTTGAAGGTTGCGTTATACAATGTACATACAAAACTTGAGGATTGAACAAGGCAATGGTTAAATAAATAAACAAATAAATACAATGATTAATGGATATAAATTATCTAAAGAGTAAAAGGCCTTTAGTACTAATTATTATTATTCGCACAAATTGTCATATGTATGGCAGAGATGGAGAAATCCTGGAAACCAGATAGCCAATATATGATGGTAAATTGCCCTTCTCTTTCTTTTTTTCTACTATTAAAACTAGGGATGCACAGATACTTTTCGAGTACCAGTGCCGATACTTTTCCATGCATTTCATGAGTACTACCAGGGTTGCAGCGGTTGCAGCTGGGACCTGGCTCTGGCACTCCACCACTGTCCTGAAATCATTAGTCTGTATTGTTTTAGAAAAAATGTCACATGACAATAAACAAAAATGTATCAGTACTCGTACTTGTAAGTACTCGGCAAGTGCCAGTACTTGTACTCGCAAAACTGGTATCTGTGCATCCCTTTATTTATATTTATAAAAACAAAATCGTACATTAAAACAGAGATGTACAAATCCCGGGAGCTCCGTGTGCTCCTTACAAATGACAGCGGCCTCCTAATTTTTGAATTTTTCTCTAGTGTAGTCTTGGAGCTCAAAAGTATCGGTACATGTGCTCATACTTGTACCGAGTACTGTACTTGGTATCTGTGCAACCCTAATTAAAACAACATTATCTTTTGTGTACTGCAAATAAAACTGAAAACCTGTGAGAAAGCAAAGGGGAAAAATTCCAATTTTGGACACTGGTTCTGGTGATAACTAAGAGGATTTCCATAGTTTGTGAGAGCTTTCCTCTCACTTCCTGTTGTGTTAACAGGATAGGAAGTTGTATCTGTGTGAAAAGTTGATACTTTTCACACAGATACAGATACTTTTCCAGCTCCAAGACTAGAAATTCAAAAGTTAGGAGGCAGCTGTCATGTGTAAGGAGCATACGAAGCTCCTAGGATTTGTACATCTCTGTTTTTAATGTATTTTTGTTTTTAAATAAATATATATTAGAGATGCACCGATACCATTTTTTCAAGTACAAGAACTGATACTTGCCCAAGCACTCACAGATACAAGTACTGATACATTTTTGTTTATTGTCATGTGACAGTTTTTCTAAAACAATACAGACTAATGATTTCAGGACAGTGGTGGAGCTCCAGAGCCGGGTCCCAGTTGTGACCATGGTAGTTCAGGTAAAAATGCCAAGTATCGGCACTGGTGTCTGAACATCCCTACATAAATGGTTTTATGGTTTTAAATATCCTTTAATACAGCTTGAAAACTTTAATAAATACATATGATTAAGGTATGTCTTCTGTACTGTATCAAAATGCTAAAACATTATATCAAAATATTACACTGTATATAAATGATCATCATGATTTCAACCACAACAACTACCTAGTTATCTTGCATTTTCTATTTTCTTGTCTGTTTAAACAGCCCCGATGCTGGCGACGTACACTACGTCGTCAGTCACGAAGGGTTTAATGATGCAGTCATGTGAAAAAGTAAGTACACCCCATGGAAGTTGTTGACCTTTTCAACATATTTGATAGGCAAGCCAGTCATTAGAACCTCCTTCATAGAGATAAGCTCAGGTTCGGACTGAGCTCCTCTGAATCTGGAAGTAGCTTGTCCTGAACAGGTAAGGAAGCTTCTCCCGTGCTGCAGGGAATTCCCCACCCCCAGCTTGACATAAGCAAAGGGATGGGATGCAGTGACATCATTGACCTTATACGACTACATGCCTATTTTTAGTAAATGCCATTTGCCTAACTGGGTAATTTATTGGCTGATATGTTGTCATGTTAGGTAAATGATATCAGCACAAGCGTCCTGCCCCTTTGTTTACCTTGAGCTGTGGGATGAGGAATGCCTGGCCTGCAGCTAATTGGGTGGAAGTGCCTATGGCACTTCCTTGTTCAGAGGAGCTCAGGTTCGAACTGTGTTTTACAAACCTGAGCTCATCCCTACTCCTTAGGGAGTATGCAGGTGGACTATTTCTTATTTAAACCTTTGACATCTGGCATCTGGTGTTCCCTTTTCTATTGGCATGGGCAGTGAGTGACATCATGCCAAGACCAATAGAGCTCTCTAAGGCTCTGATAAAGAAACCTGTGGATGCCTGAAAATAATGTACAAGTGGCAGAGATTTAAAACAATGACTAATTGATCAAGAGCTGGCCGGGCCAGCAAATACAGCCCAAGAGCTGAACGTTTGATGCTAAAAGAAGAACCTCCAAGAACCCCAAAATTTAATTTCAGGTTGTTCAGATAACCCTCACAACAGCTGTGTGCAAAATGCATCTACAATCAGAAAGAGAACACCAACTTAACCTGTATGAGAGATGTGTTAAGAAAAAGTATTTGCTGTCCAAAAACATAAGATGAAGATTACAGTGCACCATGGAAAATATAGACCGATCAATCAAAGATAGACTCTTTGGTAACAGTAGACATGTTTTTACACAGTACACCATTATATCTATTGATATTTTTTGTTGAATAAATGATTGTGAAGGCAATTTGTTTTTGTCCCTCATGTCCTTATCCAAGTATCTCACCTTTATCTGTAGGCACTTGTTGAATTAAAGATTTAATGTTTCCCTGTTTAAATATGTTGAAAAAGTAAAATATTTCCATGGAGTGTAGTTAACTTTTCAGCTGATTGTAAATTACATATAGGTGCCCTGATAGCGTTAAACATTCCCTATTGACATCTAGGGTGACCTGACATGGTAAATGACTAATTGTCTTCTTCACTTATGAAACAAATATAACAAAATTCTTCCAATGGGTTTATTAAACAGACCAAAGAGGGAGAAAATAAGAGAAGTTAATTCTTAGGGCTTGCAAACACTTTAATCTTCTTTGTCTACCTCCTTAGGGGTAGAGATGCTTTGTCCATTGTGAAGGAGCTCAGTAACTCCCTTGTTTATCCTGTAACAATTTTTCATTGTATATAACTTTACGCAAACTATACATTTCCATCCCAACCCAATGGCTATGTTGTTCAAATTTATAATACTTATACCGATGTCTCTCCAATGCTGCTTTGTAATTGATTCCACATTTTGTAAGGTTAATAAAAAACATATTGAAGTAACATAGAAGTCTACTATATGACCTGAATTGTCAATATTCTTGCAGGAGCCGTGGAGGAGTGCCACCCGCTTCCACAGGAGTACCAAGAGGAGCACCGGCCCCCAGAGGAGCACCGGCCCCCAGAGGAGCACCGGTCCCAAGAGGAGTACCGGCCCCCAGAGGAGTACCGGCCCCCAGAGGAGTGACCCCTGCAAGGGTACCATCTGTAAGAGCTCGGGGAATATTGGCCACACGAGCAAGAGGACTACCTCCTCCTGCAGGTTATCGACCCCCACTGCCAGCACAAGATACGTATGGAGAATATGTGAGTATCAAAGATAAGCTATTGCCCTCAAACACCCCAAAATAATTTCCATAGTTTGGACTTGGCTCCATCTGTTGAGAAAACAAAAACAAGGGGCACCTTCCCTAGTGTAGATACATTTTTATTTTATAAATGGCAAAAAGTGGAATGATAGGTAACATTGAACCTTCAAATCAAAGGTTGATCCTCAGCCGTGGCAAAAAACAAGAGCAGCATGAGAGAGCTGCACAGATGGTGGTTCCTATGTGACAGCACAGTATGCCTGGGTTTACGCATTTCCGGGGCCACGCCCCCTTCCTCAGAACCTCTCCATCTGTGCCATAAGGCAATGGTTCTCCATGGACAGCTAGCCCTGCAGTATTAAAGAATGTTTTACATGGCTCGGAAAACTATCTTAAAATGAGGAATAGCCCCTTTATTTTTTGGTGATGACTAAATTGAGACATGTAGATACATTTACTTTAAAGTAAACCTGTGGCCATGCTATAAACATTCAAGTATTTGCATATTCTTAAAGCTTACCTCCAGGCAGATTTGGAAGGCACACATTACTGCAGCTCTGTATTCATTCACGTATGACCCCCCCATGGCCTTTTTCTCCTTAAATGCCCGAGTGCATTTTTTTTTTTTTGCATTTCGCCAATGCATCCACCCCCCATGTTATCTTTTAAGTTTTGTAGTCTATCCTACCTTGTTTTTGAGACAGATCAAGCTTTAATTTTGTAGAAAGAGTAGATACTGTACATATATTTTTATTTCCTTAGTTTTCACTGTATATAACAAACCCTGGATTTTTTTTTTGCCAGTGCAATCCTTCTGTAGTTTGCACACCCCCATATATTTATCCCGAAATATAATCAACGAAGTCCACTGATTAACATTTGTGTGACTTTGTGATGTAGCAGAATAGTAAAGCTCAAAGAACAAATGCATTTTTCTTTAGGAGAACTGTATTCCTCTTTTGATGCTTCATTATGAGACATGCTGGGGAATTAAAACATACCCCCCCCCATGTATAGTCATCTATTGCTGACTAGAATCAGCCAGCAATGGTTAACTATAGCAGTGATCTATTGCTGCAGGGAGGCGCTAGGCAGAGCTGTAACTCAGAGGAAGTGCCCTGATGTTACTACACTCCACAGAATGTGGAAGCAGTGGGGGTAGGTAGGAGACCTTTAAGTGTAATTGAACTGCAGCAGAGAAAAAATGCTACACGGCTCAGAAATGTGCTGTGTGGCATAGCTGTGTTCATGTCAGGATTGGATGAAATACATATGTTTTGGCAGGAAAAACAGCTCCCATATATGTCTTTCATCTGTATATTCAGATGCTTGCCTAAAGTTTAGCTTTAAACATCTATAAATAAGCTGTAAGTTGGCACTGATTGCTGCAGCTGTGGGCACTACTGTGGGGCAATTCATAGACTTTGTTTGGGCATATCACATACACCCAAGGAAAATTCAATAAGCAGATATAGTAGGCCGTTTCTATCTGATGTTTCTCTATAACCGCAATATAGGGGACAACATTATATCATTACACCATGCCACTCGTCGTTTCACAACGAATTGTTATGATGTAACTGTCTAGTCCCTAAGTCTGTCAAAGCAGTGCCATGGCATGCAAGCAATACTGAAAACATACAAACAGTTTCCCTCACAGTCCATAGAGAAAGACATTACTACCTTACAAGCTTTGACCAAATACTTCCTTAAGCCAAGGATAGAGGCCATCAACGCACCCTTCCCCAACAACATTCAAGGCAGTAGGCTCTGTAGAGAAAACAAATACATTTTTCATTAAATGCACTGCATTATATGGCATCTATGAATCCTTTCACTCACATAGCTTAAAGACAAGTAGTTACCTCTTCCCAAGATCCTTCATCATAGACATTCTACTACCAGGGACAACCTAGATTGGTTCCTTTCACCTTAACACTTCTCTGTCACCGGGACACTTACCACTGACTTGCGGCCAGTGACTTGGTCATGTGAACCTGCGCATGCGCGGACTCCTGGTATATCATCAAGGCCACCCATTAATACACAGAAGCAGACGTGGATGCCCCCCTCAGGCAAAACACAAACCACACTCCTCCGCTGATATTGTCATCGTGACTTTTAGAACGACGTTTGAAATTTCAACGTTCAATTGTGGAAATGAATAGAGTTTCTGGAAAGAAAACCACAATCACCATTAGAATGTTAGAATGTCATTTGTTTGAGAAAAAAATATCCTTTTTGATTTGATTTTTTTTTTCCTCACTACGGTCTAAATCCATCATCTGTTTAAACCCCATGAACCATTAGCAATGTGCTGTGAGTTTTGCACCTTCAAATGTATTAGCATAGTGACTGTTAATCTCTCTCGCTGTCACTCTCTTTGTTTGGTTTTCACATCTCCCTGATGGCAGTTGGAAAGGTTCATAGTTTCTCTATATAGCCCCTTGTCTTGCCTCTGGCAAATCACTAGTTACAGATTAAAATAGATGAATATTATCAGGTTACATGTTGTTTACGTGCCAAAGTTAGCTCTCTCTCCTTCAGTATGATTACATTGTATACAATTGTTTCCCAATATTTTCTTTCAAACTTCATATTTTCTAGTTTGGCATCTTTTTTCAAATGTAATTTAATGGGTGCATGTAAAGTGAAATACAGTGCTAGAGGTTAACCCAACCAAGACTCACTAAACTCATATAGCCATTCTAATACCATATAGAAACCATACAAAGCAAATATTCAAACAGTACATGACAAACATTCAAAGTCTATATGTGATCTCAGTGTTGTATTAATAGTCAAGTTTATTTTTTAGACCATGGTTCATGTTACACTCACACCGCCTTCCTGTCCCCCACCACTCTGCCCAATCCTTTTGTTGGGATTTGCATCCCTCCTCTACGCCCAATGGCTGGCCACTGATAGCATAACTCTTGGCACTCTTAGCATCCTACAGATGTCAGGCAAATGTCAGGAGTGTACACTGCACTTGTATCATTCTTCTCTCAAGTTAGTTTCTTCAAAATGTTATAATTCCTCTTGGCAGTAAGTCTGATCAAATATGACCTAATAGATTGATTCCTTTTCAAGGCAAAGGTCATTTAAAGTGATCATATCCATGATTGTCCTTTCATGGTTATGTGTATGGCCATCATTGTACCATACACTTTTAAACCTTCCCCCTGCTTAACTGTAAAGTTCTGGCTTTTGTAATGCTTCATTCATCCTGCTTGATTGTAAGCTTCACCACTTTCTGCCACACTCTCTTCACCCTGCTTGATAATATGTTCTGCTTTCTGAACGGCTTCCTTCATCCTGCTCAATTGTAAGCTCTAACCCAGGGGTGTCAAACTCAAGTTAATCGTGGGCCGCATCAACATTATGGTTGCCCTCAAAGGTATCTGTAAGACTATATAAATGTATCTAATCTTTATCATAATTGCCTCTGCATTTGATTATCACTGGTTTTAGTGATAACTTAATACCTAGATCTGAAAGTAGAAGTCTAGGAAATGGCCTGGTGGGCCGGATTAGGCTCCTGGGCCTTGAGTTTGACACATGTGCTCTAACCCCTCAAGTTAGTTCTTCTGCAAGACTCCCTTCACCCTGCTTGATTGTAAGCTTTTGCACCTTCTCTAAAACCCTGCTTGACAATAAGTGCTTTCACCATCAGTAACACTCCTTTCACCCTCCTTGATAGTAGGCTCTTCAACGCTTTGTAACACTCCCTTTACCATGCTCCCATAGTACGTTCTTTCACCTTCTAATGGTCACGTCACCATGCTTCATAATATTCTTACCGTCCGTAACATTCCTTTTACTCTACTTGATAGTAAGTTCCCAGTGGCAGATAGTGTCAGCGCCTTCTACAGGGTGACCATGCCTGTATGTTATAGGATGTGCTGTATAGAGGGTGACAATGCTGCAAGATTGTTCCAGAAGCCTTGTCAGCCCTCTCCTGGAAATTAGGTCAGGTGGGGAACACTGGCAGAATCAAGAGGTACGAAGTGCATAAACAGAGGTGCACTTCTAGAATGTACATGACTGTGATGATTGAGCAGAGGATATTGCTTGTAAAATTATCATTTCTTTTCCCTGGACATTCTTTAATATTTCAATTCAATTTTTTCTTATTTCAGGATTATGATGATGGCTATGGAACGGCATATGATGAACAAAGTTATGAGTCTTACGATAACAACTACACTTCTCAAGTACAAAGGTAAGATATCGTACATCTGCTGCTTGTCCTTATTACTTATGACTATTTAATTGCTGGCACACAGATTCATTAGTGTAATGAGAGCAGATTCAAAGCTGCTTCCTGTGCACTTTCCCTTATAGGCCAGGTGCTCTGGGGACTTATATTAGCAATTAAAGTGTGGCGTTCACTGGAGCAACACATTTTTCTGCGTAAGAAAACATAATCTTCTTTTTCTGGTTGCTTTTATATTAAAATGGCTTAAGTCAGGGAAGGTAAGGTGGAATGCAGGTGATTATTCAAGGGAGTAATAAAAGAGCATATCTTTTGGGAATTTCCATTTGATATGTAAAAAACATATTTGTTTATGACCCTTTGCATTGTTAAAGAGAAATGGGACCCTCTCCTGCAGCATATACTGCAGGCTTTATCGGGCAGGTGGCTGTTCAACTGTCTAAGGCTGTTACTGTGCCATTGATGTCCTTAAAGTATATGAAGAGCCAAACTCTTTAATTTTTAATAGAGTAAACTTATATATATATATATACAGTATGTATATATGCTCTTACAAATCCATCAAGAAAGACCTGCTACGTTTTTCCTGATTGCAGCAAGGGCTGTAATCCCGAGACACTGGAGGACAGATGATACATTTTCTGCAATATTTTCTCCCTGGCTTTTCTCTCGGGTTAACCCTCAATAGAGTTATACTTTTCTCTAATGGAGTGGTGGTGTCTGTCCGCTCTTCAGAGCTCTTGGATTTCTGGACTCTGTTGGACCTTTGGGCAGTCTCAAATACTTTGTATGTTTTTTTTGTGCCACTTTTACCATGTATAGCTGATCTTGTTCTTTTCTTTTTTCCTTTTCCTTCCTGTTCGTCTTATTGATATATCCTTCTTTCCCTTTCTTATCTTGAGACAAAAAAGGTGATGGGTAATTAAAAATGTAAAAGTTGTCACCAGATTAGTGCTAGAAGCGGGACCTCCCAATGGAAATGCATGTCTTGATGAAAGCTGGCTACTAGAAGAATTCTTCTCACTTTAGGAGACTTCCTCTAACTTCCAGTCAGGAAGCAAATAGAAATCTCCTCTAACAGTACACCGAAGGCAAAAAATATCATAATAGAGGTTTTAATTCTTCCCTTTTCTATGCAAAACTCAAAGCATTTGAAATACATATACTTTAAAGCTGAACTTTTGGCAGATGTAAAAGACACACATTAATGCAGCTGTGTATTCATTAATACATCCTTAAAGGAGAACTATGAGGTGTGTTTTTCACTCAACCTCATATTTCGAGCCGACGTGTGACAATGAAACTGTCACGTCGGCTCTGTAGATCGGGAAGTGAGCGAACGCATACTCGCTCACTTTCCAATCATTTCTCTGCATGTCACCACTCCCCACAGAGATCCCCCCCACTCTGATCCACCAGCGCTGACTGGAGAAACTGACAGGGGAGGGGGCGGGCTAGATAGGCAGAGCCAGTAGTCACTCACGCAGCTGGGTGGATCTCGACAGCATTGTCGGGATCTGTCCCGGCTGCTGTGCTCTCGGTATATAGTGAGCAACAGCTCACTATATACTGAGCTTTGGGTCATGGGAGGACACTAGTATGTGTCCTCCCGTGACCCTTAAGAGATCTGTGGGATAAAAAGGTTACCCCATAGTTCTCTTTTAAATGTAATTTTTAAATGCAAGCAGTGTAAATACCTGAATTTGACCTGGTATTAGCCTCTTGCTGTCCAACTGAAGGGGGAAGTAGGAGAGAAGCAGCACAAGAAGGCAGTTAAGTGTGCCTCAATGCAAGGAGCATGTTAATAGGAGAAGAGAACAGAGTGACAGGTCATTTGATCAGTGTGCTGCTTCTCCTTTTATTGTCCAGTTACAGGGTAGAAAGGGGAGAGGGGACCTGTAAGTAAAAGCAAAGCTCCAGCAGGGAAAGATCAGGTCCCCTACCCTGCCAAAGAGGGCTCTGTTGTGTGGCAGAGCTCTATAAATGTCAACACCTGCGTATTTAGCTGTTTGTCAGGTGCTATGCTTTACTTGAGAAATAATTCCCCATGTGCAGCCTGTGCCTTGGATCCAGTGGAGCTCCAGATGGACATGGGAATCAATGTATAGACTAATACAGGTGCTTGCAGGCAGTTAATTGAGCCAGCACTTCAACATTGTTGACCTTAAAACCTTATAGGCTGCACTGCAGTGTTACTCATTAGAAGGAATTGTCGGAAGCTGTAAATCACACTCCATTCTAGACATTGTCCACAAATGTCACCATACGGCCATCTTCTGATACACATCCTATTTACGAAGACCGTATGGACCGATGCAACACAACGGAAATGTTTGTCTATTAATCAGTTTATGTTCTCCGAAAGATTTATGCCGAATGGCTTGGAAAATGACTGTAAAAATATGAGGCCCATTGGAGAGCTGCAGTACATCATTTGGATTTAGCATTGCCATCTGCTTAATGGCAGTGAAATGGCTACAGAGACACTTATAATGGGCCATTCTAGGACTTGACAGATGCTGCCATGTTAACCTGTCAGGGCTGAAGTCCTGTAAGCAGATGTAGGTTATACGCTACGAGGCTGTGCGCAACAAAATGGGCCAGCAGTTGCTCCGATCATCTCTGTGATAATGATGTGTGCATTTTTGGTATTCCTAAAGAGTGTAGAATGTTATGTTGCCATATTCTTTCTCTTTTCTAATGAGCCATCATTATGGCCATGGTTTTTTTATATCTCTGCTGGAAAACTACTTAAACTAAAGTGATATGAATGAAGCCAATTTCACTAAGTTATTTTTCATATAAATCGTGTTGATATATTAATTACAATTTCACTTTGTTTTTATTTTTTACAAATTAAACTGTCTGTGTAAATCTGCTTAATACATTACAGTTGCATCAAAATGAAAGGTGTCAAAGTTTGCATATTGCAGAGAAGGACCATTGCATTGTGTGTGGTGACAGTGGTCTCTCTGAAGAGGTCCAACATGCCCCCTGCTGAGCTATTGCACATCAATCTAGTCTAATGCTCCATGCCTATCGGAGAGCTCTGATTTAGCAGGGGGCATGTGAGTCCTTTGCAGACAGATGACTGCATCCACAAAGAGATCAAGAATCCTTCTCTGCAGCATGGTAGAAGGCGACAGTACTCAAGTGGTGGGTATAATGCTTTTTTTTTTTTTTTTTTTTTTGTTTATCATCATTTTTATATTCCAACAGTACATTCGACAAATAGGCAATTACATTTTTACCACAAACATATACACAAAAAAATTAAATAAATAATAATTTAACATTCACTATATCCTGCCTCAACAATCTTCTAATCCCCCAGAGATTTTTTTTTAAAAAGGGGGGTGTTGTATTAACTCCCCATCTTCCCGTATCTAGTGTCAAATTCGTCAAGGGTTAAATCCCTTAAATTTTTTGGTGCCATCTTTCTCCTTGTGAGGTGTCCTCTTTTATTATTTTTAAACCTATATTTTATATACTCATACATATATATGTGCGTCCCCCTCTACCTTCCAAAAACTAATCATAAATACATTAATCCACTCAATATCTATATATTTGTGTTATTGACAGTGCCAGACCTGCCTTATAACAGGTGTAATTAGTATACCCTCTTATCCTATACCTGGTGTCAAAAATAGAGAAAGGAGAAAAAATAAAGATAAAAAAGGGATAGGAGAAAAAAAAAAAAAAAGGCCAAATTCTTATTGTGCCACTTAGCCCCTTCTAAGGTCTCATATATTATTATTATACTGTGATGTACTTTATATCGTGAACAATGTGAAATCACTATGAAGAAAAATAAATAAATAGAATAAAATTGAAAAAAAAAAAGGAAGCCTCTAGGGGGGAAGGGGAAGAGGTAGGGTGGAAAGGTAGAGGGATTTTGGAAAAATTAGGGTGAGGGGGGAGGGGGAGATAAAAGAAAAAAAAAGGAAAAAAAAGAAAAAGAAGAAAAAGACCGATTATTCCTGGACATCCAGGAGTTTGTTTCTATTTCTGAATGAAAGTGATAATCAAGTATATCTTCAGTTATGCGCTACTCAGCGCCACTCTGCACTTCTGTTTTCTTACTCTGGAATCAAAACCTTAGCTTCTTTATGTTTTCCGCAGATTTAGCTCAGCATAATTTCCACATATCTCTGGGAGTTTTTAAATTTATTCCAATTAGCCCATATTCCCTTATAAGAGGGGCCTAAGTTTTTTAACACAGCTGTAAGTTCCTCCATTTCGCTATAATGACCAATAATTTTAAACCAAGTGTGAATATCTGGTTCTGATACGCATCTCCATGATCTGGATATATTCGCCTTTGCCGCATTCGGAAAAAATGGAATAACAGTTGTCCTATATTTCCCCACTGGGGAGTCAGTGCAGTGGAACAGACATGTCCATGGTTCAAGAGGAACCTTTTGGTCTGTTATATCACATATATAATTAGTTACTTTTCGCCAATAACCCTGGAAGGCTTTTAACACCTTTTTGTTTTGATGGCCCTGGAATGTATTTAACTGATTGAAACTCAAAGTTGGGCTATGAGGCATTGGAACATGTCTATTGAAACACTTATAGAAAGAAGGAAAAGTTAACATCTGAGGCTGGATCATAGGGCTGGGAGAAGAAAAAAATATATAATGTAGTACAATATATAGGCAATCGTTTGTGGACACCTGACCATCAGCCTGGTATAAGCTTGATGAACTTCCCATTCCAAAATCATTGACAATGATATGAAGTTCTACCCCACCCCCTGTGCAGCTATAACACTCTTCTTGGAAGGCTTTCCACAAGATTTTAGAGTGTATGTGTTGGGAATTTGTGCCCATTCAGCCAAAAGAACATTTCTAAGGTTAGGGATGCAGGGTACCTCCCTATCCCAAATATGTTGGAATGTAGGGTAGGGTTAGATGTTGGGTAGTAATGTTGAGGCATCTGTATGAGATCCTGAAGTCCAATCACATTAAACCATATATGGAGCTGGCTTTGAGCACAGGGGCACAGTCATGCTGGAACAGAAAAGGACCTTCCCCAAACTGTTACCACAGGGTTAGAAGCCCACAATTGTTTATAATGACTTTGTATGTTGCAACATCAACAGTGCTCTTCACTGAAAACATCTGAAGTTAGTCATTTTAAAGGAATGTCCATATACGTTTAGCTATATAGTAGTTTTGATGGTCAGGTCCCAACACACTTTTGGTGTATATGCTAGATAAAGTGTAAGAGTTTCCTCTGGTCTGTTTAAACTATATGATTTCTCTGTCTAGAATAACATAAAGTACATATATTAAAAAATATGCCATCTCATTGACATGACGGAAACACCAAAAATGATTGTTGCTAGGATCTCGTCTGAATGCCATTCTTCCTTTCTTGCAGCACGGGAGATTTTTATGAATATGGACATGAAATTGGTGAGGAATCATATGACTCGTATGGTGAGTTTCTATTATTTAATGTATAATTTCAATAGCTGCCAGCCAATGATGTTACCCTATATGAGGATATTTCTGACAGAAGTAGCATAGAACTACAGACTATGGTTTATACAGTATGTCGGGGAAGCATATACCAGCTATAATTGAACTTTTTGATTTCTAAAACTTTCATGTTTAGCTAACTTTTGTACAATTTGATATGGCTGTAAACCGTGAATGGTCTTGTAATTATGTTATCCATTACGTGGCTAGGGAATTTGTTTCACAAGAAAGGGTAGCAAGAAAGTATCACAGATGTGCCTTTATTAATAAATATGAAAATTATTCAATATGATGCAGCCAAAACCCTGTTTATGTTTAAGAGTATTGAATTACAATAGGAAAGAATAAATACATTGCTAGGTATTTTTTACTGGAAAGTCTGCTGAATTGAATATTTTTTTCCAAATCAGCTATGTTGTCCTAGATTGTTCACTACTCCTGCCTTCTACAAACTCTTCACCCTTTTGTGAATAACCCTGTTAGAGATAGTGTACCTCTAAATACATTTTATCATATTATTTTAGACTGTGCATGCTGAGATGCTGAGAATAGGCAATCTTCTGGATCCTCCCATATAGATATATCTATATAGATATAAAACTCCCCTTCAATGGTTCCCTGTACCCTGGATGATACAGGCATTTGGCATCCAACCGGCCGGCCTTTTTGTGCCTAACCAAACTGATCTATGCAGATGAATGTCTCCTGGATGACCACAGTTTCCAATAGTAAATGTCAGCCTGCATATGTCTCCTCATATCAGAAGGGAGCCTATGTTGAGCCCCTTCTTCTTACCCTTGATTCCAAGTGATAAATTGACTAGTTTCAATATAGCAAGAAGGCCACAAAGGGGTTGACCCTCCCATTAGAGGAGTGCCACTCCAAATGACCTGGAAAAGCTACAGTTACTGATTCTGTTAACCATAGCTTCATGAAGAGTAGAGTCATGTCACTGGAATCTGGTTAAGAAATTGTGGAGGGTTTAGCGGTACATCAGTCTCAGTGGCAAATCTGCAGATCTCTAATCTCCTGTCATCACTGGGGATTCACCGATACCGTTTTTTTCGGTAATGAGTACTGTTTTTTTTTTCTCGTACTCGCTGATACCGAATACTGATACTGGAAGTACCATTAGGGAGACGGGCAGCGTGTAATGACTCGACACCCAGCTTCCTGATTAGCCAGACAGCATGTAATGACTCGCCACCCAGCTTCCCGATTAGCAGGGAAGCAGTCAACCATGCTCCCTCGTCACCAGGTAAAGAGGGAGCATGGCGCCGTCTTTCCGGCCAATCAGTAAGCCGGGCAGCGTGTAATGATTCGCTGCCCAGCTTTCTGATACCGGAAGTCCCAGTATCGGGCTAGGCATCGGGAGCATTTGGGTGAGTGCAAGTACTCACCCAAATACTCGATATAGGCACCGATACCGATAGTGGTATCGGTATTGGTGCATCCCTAGTTATTACCCATGACAGTTCTGCTTGTCTGTAGCCAACCATAGTGTTTATTAAGCCTTACTGTGTTTGTGTTTGGTAGTATGGAGTTACCACATAAATAAAAATGGTCTTCAATTCATTGCTGGCTATGAATACCCTACTTATCAGGAACTCAGTAGGAACTAAAACTCTAACCCCAATCATATATTTTTTTTTTTAGACTGAGTAAGGGCACCAAATGACAAGTCCAATAAACTCCAAAAGGAAAGGAAAATGTGTTTATATATAAAAATATATTTTTATTTTAATCCATACAAAAAGTGCTGGAGACAGCCGCCCCACGCGTACCGACGGCTTTTGGGTGTTGGAGGTTGTCAGGAGGCTACCCTGAGGCCTCACTATACAAACAAACCCCCTTTATGCTGTGTCCTCCCCTGGATGGATCTACCTTGGGTATGAGACCATTTCTCGCCACTATTACACTACCAGTACTCCCTAAGAACAGCCCCTGATTTGGATTTCCATCCTCCTCCACCCTGGGAACACGTGCCTCCCCGGTTCACCTGGCGCTTTGGTGTGTGTACCCGTTGACTTCACACTGAAGGGATCACCTCCTCCTCCTGATGAAGTGCCTCTCAGCGCAAAACGCGTAGAGTATTGCATTACCACCTACTAATCTGGTTCTATTAGAGGCTTTTCACCATTTCTAAATCGACTGTATTCTCTTATGAATTGTGCCTGTCCATCTATTGTATTGCATTATATGTTGGAACAATCATGTTATTATATTTTCTATATTTTCTACTTTGGAACTAGTGGGTGTTAGGAGGTTCTCTCTCTTTTGTGTGTTTTTATAACATATCAACAATTTGACGTTTTTAACTTTTTGTATGGAATAAAATAAAAATATATTTTTATATATAAACACATTTTCCTTTCCTTTTGGAGCTTATTAGACTTGTCATTTGGTGCCCCCAAAAAATCCAACCTTTTTCTTTCCTTTTTACCATTGTTACTTAACCATAATCACTCAGGATCTGCGCTCCACAACAAATTTGTTAATTTGACTGAGTAAGGGTTAGAACCTTGATTTTTTTTTTTCCCCCTCAATGTATGTGTAGATTTTCCTTCTCTTCCTGACCTGGTGACTTTGACAACTGTTACCAGAAAGGGTGTCACCAGCGAAAGAATTTGCCTCACCTTTAGTTATGGTGAATTCCCTCTAACTTGCAAACAGCAATAAAACCAAAATTGAGTTTTTAATCCTTCCTCAGTCTGTGGGCTACATTTATAAGCAAGTTAGATCTCAGGCCCAAGGTGCATGATGAAATACACTCTATTAATCAATATTCATATCAGCTTTAAAGGTGTGAATGGAAAATCTATCATTGGGATCACTTAACATGCTCAGTTTGTGTGAGATTTGTTTGTTGCTTGATTTATAATGTAAAGGATTACCTAGAATGATGGGCATCCTGAACCAACAAGCTTGCAATGGATACTCAAATATGTCCAAGAAAGCTGAGCATGACCTTTTTTCTGTCTTTGCTAACACTTAAGACCTAGGAACATGCCCTGCACATGTTTGCATTCATCTTCTCTAGTGCAGACATGTCAAGGTGGTGATTCTGGTCTATCAGCATCCTTGTTATCGCTTCCAACAAATTTGCCTTCCAGCTTTTGTAAAACAATTACATTTTAAAATGTATAAAATGCATAGAAATCAAATATAGCCTCCTAATAGTGTTTGCCGATGCCTCTGAAGGCCATCTCCAGCACCCCATCACCCCCAAATCCTGCAACGTATTGTTATGTACAGTATATGTCAACACTTTAGTAGTAGTAGTAGTGTCAAGAGCAGGCACTCTCCTTTCTCCTCCTTATTACAAATCCATCAATATTATGAGCAGCTGTAATAGGCAATAGAAATGCAAGGTGGCAAGAAGGGCAGGACCAGTCCTCAATACCAGTAAATGCCATGCTTTGCATATGAGGGCACTGTAGGATTTGGGAGCTTGTGGTGTCCCGGTAATGGCTTTTGAAGGTATGACCTGTAGGCATTTTACATAGGCATTTCTTATATACCAAGTGTATTTTAAAGCAATGGTTCTTTGACAAAAGCCTTGAAAATGGGGTTATAGTACCTTTTTTTAAAAGATTTACACAGCTTTCACTGAAGATTCAAACATTTTCTAATTGGATTAAGCTGAGAAATGTGTCAATCTGGATAAAAGAAGTGTGATTCAAGTGTGAAAACAATTATAAATAGATCATATTACGTTTGTTACTACATATTAAAAACAATAGTAATCATTATGTTAAGGTGCTATAGTATTTTCTTATCTGACGTGTAACTGCACCTATCATTAGAAAGGATTTGGCCTCTTATCTTAAAGTGACACTAAACTCCGGAGTTAAATCTTAAAAAAATAAATTCAAGTGCCTTAACTATTAACAAAAATGTATCTTATTTGTGTATCACTCGGCTGTAGATCCTCCAATCATCTCTGAATTGGTGCTGACACTGTCCTTCCTTCTGGGGGGTGGCTACTTTTGCTCCCCATGGTCCCTGTGTGTGTTATAGAGAAGTCACCGTTCCAAGCTCACTCCTATGATGGATTATTATTAATAATAATATTAATATTATTCAGTGCCAACAGTTTGCACAGAGCTTTACAATATAGGAAAGACATTATAATTACAATACAATTCAAGACAAGATGGTAATGAGGGCCCTGCCCGTGAAGGCTTACAATCTAAGAGGGAGGGGGAAGTGATACATGAGGAGGTAGCTGTGTGGGGCTGAATTGTCTGAGAATGCAATAGTTCAGTGATTAGTTTGAGGTGGGATAGGCTTCCGTAAAGAGATGAGTCTTTGAGTCAGGGTGGGGTAAGGAGTTCCAAAGAATGGGAGAGATTCTAGAGAAGTCCTGGAGGTGAGCATGGAAGGAGTTGACGAGGGAGCTAGAAAGCAGGAGGTCTTTGGAAGAGCGGAGGGAACGGTTAGGGTGATACTTTGAGACAAGGTTGGTGATATAGCATGGGGCAGAGTTGTGGATGGTTTTGTAAGTGGTTGTTAATATTTTGAATTGTATCCTTTGGGCTATTGGAAGCCAGTGCAGGGATTGGCAGAGGGGAGTTGCAGATACTGAACGGTTGGTTAGGTGGAAAAGTCTGACTACAATCTCAATACAAATTATAATGCTAAACACACACAGGGACCATGGGGAACAAAAGTAGCCACCCTCCATAAGGAAGGACAGTGTCAGCACCAATTCAGAGATAATTGGAGGATCTACAGCCGAATGATACACAAATAAGATACATTTTTGTTAATAGTTAAGGTCCTTAAATGCATTTTAAGGTTTAGCTCCTGAATTTAGTGTCATGTTAAGTGCTTTGTGGCATTCCTAGCTTCCTTCTATTGCCACCTAAAGTCTCCAAGGGCCGAATAAGACTTCCATGTACTTTTATATTTTTTAAAGATGGTGATTATTTTTTTATTAAAACAAAATAGTGTTGAAGTGAATTTGTTTAACTCCATCCAAAAATTGGTAAAACAATGAATTGTGTTCACCAGGGCAAGAAGATTGGGCAAACAACAGACATAAAGCCGTTTCTTCAAGAGTCACAAAAGGAGCCTTCAGAGAACAACCATATGCAAGATACTGATTGTACAGTCTGACGTGAATTAAACCTTCTCCAGCCCTCTTTACTGTTCAAAGTAATTTTTTCTACGAAAGCTCATTCCCTTTTTATTAAAACCGTTCCAATGGATGGACTGAAACTAAACCAATTTTTTTTTTCTTTTTATCATTGAGGCAAAAAAAAAAAAATGAACAAAAACATTGTAAACCAACCTTGTTATCTAGTCTGTATTTGAAAATAGGTGGTCAAAAGGATGAATTAATTATTAACTAGTGTTAAACCAGTTAGACTGATTAAATATGTTAATCCATTCTTTAATATAAGCGTAACCTTTTATTTTTTTATTTTAAAGGGTTTCCTGAGAGACGTTAATGCCGCTTTATTTTAACAGTTTGTTACTTTTTTTTCTTGTAAATCTGCATAAATGACAAAAAAAAAAAACAAACGGAAAATCACAATTGCAAATAATGTCGTATCTTTTTGTAATAAGTCTTGAAATGTACTGTAGTGTTGAGCAAAATTTACTGTTGCTTAATACTAATAAACTTTTGAAAGAAAAAAAGTGTGTGTGAAATAGTAATTTATGAATTGTCTTTTAAAAAAAAGTTATAAATAGTGGTAAACAAAAAAAAAATTTCTAACGTTGATATGCTTATAAATGGTTGACAAACGCTGTATGGTTTGTCTTAAAATTTGGTATAAAAACTAAATATACTTTGACTATATGATGGTAGGATTTAAATGCTGGCTAAAGGACTCAAATGGTATTGATTTGCTTAACAGCCACATTAAAACGATGCAAAAAGAAGGAAAAAACAAAACAAAACTAATGTATTTAAAAATGGTTTTAAACTAGAGTCTGAGTTTTCTGGAAAAAATGTGAATAGTTTTGATTTTGTTGAGCATTTTTTCACTAGTGCAACTTTGGAATTTAAAAGAATTTTGGTTCCTAAATGAGAACTTCGAACCATGATGGGAACAAATAGCACAAAGCTTAAAAGACTCTCTGACTTGACTAATTGAGGTCGCTTTCATCCGCGGCAGAGGATGCGTAACCCTTAAAACGATCTTCATTTGCAAAGGTAAATAAATCAAATAAAATTTTAATATTCGTTAATTTCTCTTTAATATATAACCAATAAAAAAAGCAGGTGGAATTCAAACAAGTTATTTTTCTTTTTCTTTTTTTTTCTCTTCCTTTTTTTAATTTAAGGCCCCTAAATTCTCATTTTAAACATTAATTTTTTTTTCATTAATCGTCTAAAAAGCTTCGGTGTTCTATTTAAAAACAATAATCCTGTAAAATTTCATAACTAGCTGTTTGATTAGTGGTTTTGTCCCTAAACCCTCAGTAATGGACAGAATTTAAAGTTGTGAGCTAATGCTAATAATTCTGTAGTTTCCTTTTAGTTTCAGAAGTCTTACTTTATAACTGTTTGAAATAAGGTGTGCCATGATGTTTTTATGTGTTTTGTAATCTATGTCTTTTCTTACCAGGAAGCAGGTGAAACACTTGCTGAAGAACAGGACGGATAACAATGAACATTTAAATGTTTTGGTAAGTGCCTCTTTTTTTATAATAGCTCTCCATTATATTGCCAATGACAAAACTGTTAAGGTGTTCAGCAGAGCTCCTGATGGTGGAGATGGGGTTGGCTGCGTGCTGGTACCAGGTTGCGGTCCCCAGGGTTGCCCTGCCATGGGATGGATGAGAACAGGAGGGCTCCAATGAGGAGACAGTAGTCGGATCCAGGCAGAGTTCAAGGCAGGCGGCTAGCAGAGGGTGGTCGGGCAGTCCAAGATCGGCAACTAGCAATCAGAGGATAAACACAGGAGACAAGAGCAAAGTCCGGTCCAGGCAGAAGATCAGGGCGGGCAGCAAGAGAAGAAGGGTCAGATGGTCTGGGTCAGCAATGAGAAAACAGCAGAAGTATAAGCTCTTTCACAAACAGAAAGCTTGCAAAAAGACACATCACCAGCTTCTTGTAGAGCTAGTGCCTAAATACCCTTCTGAATTAGAGACGACACGCCCAGCCTCAGGGTACACTGGAAGTCCTGGTCTGGAATCTTTTACTATTACTAGCCATACTGGCCTGGACCCATTAGTAGTGAGATCCATTAGTAGCGGATCTTCTGGAAATCCTGGCTGGGATTCTCGAGGGAGAAGGTAAACCCTGACAGGTACTCTGAGCTTACCATAACACCTCTACTTCTTTTCCCTGGGCACATTTTCTATCTATCTTTTTTTTATGACCCCATCATCTCATCAGGCAGAGCTGTCAGCCATTAAACATAATTTTGCATTATTTGCTGCTCAGGTTTGGATTTTTATTGACTTCAATGGGACTTCTGGTTCAGAAATTCTGAATTTCAGAGGTTTGCAAGTTTTTAAAATGTTTGGCTGAACCATGACTGATTGAACTTTTCAGGAGTATAATCATCTTTACCTGTCAAATATAGTGACACAAGAACCTACACGTTGGCATATAAATAAATTCAGCCTGAACCTCACTGATTCAGGTGGCTAAATGTGAATCTAATTTGAAGTGTTTTGTGGGGGGTTTTTTTGTATTTCTGGGTGAAAGAGTCCAAGGGCTGGACCAAAAGTAATTTTTGCCTTACATCAGCTACTTCTTTTCCCTGGGCACAGGATCTATCTAGCTGTTCTTATGACCCCGTCATCTCATCAGGCAGAGCTGCCACCCATTCTTCACAATGTTGCATTGTTTGTTGCTCAGGTTTGAACTTTCATTGACTACAATGGGACTTCTATTTCAGAAATCCTGAATTTCAGAGGTTTGCAAATGTTTTAAAAGTTTGGGAAAACCATGACTGATTGAACTTTTCAGGAGCATGATCATCTTTACTTGTCAAATACAGTGACACAAGAACCTACAGGTGGGCATCTAAATAGGGCCTTCATATATAGTTTGTAGTTTCTTTATAACCCAAGTTATGCAGTTTTAGTGGCCATACTCCGTTGTGTTGCACGTAACACTACTTGAATGTTGCTCAGTCTTCTAAGCTGGTCATTTCCATCTGCTGTCCTCTACTGCAAGTGCTACTGAAAAGTCAGTGTTGTGTTTTAGCTCCTCTTAGGCTTTCATACATTTAAAAAAAAAAAAAGATTATAATAAGACAATGAAGCATTCACTAGCCAGAGAATGGAAGCACCTTGTGATGAGGGCATGTTTAATCACTAAAATGTTTTCTGTGTACTTGTGGAGTCTTTTGATCCTGAATGCTTGTTGCGGAGGCCTTGAAAGCTCCAACTCTGGGCTCAACAATCTAGTGAGAGTGCTCTAATTTGGAGCAGTAGACAGGGTTTTTTAATAACATGTCTTGGGTTAGGGATTTCCTCAGACACAAAAAAAAGCAGAATAACAAGAGTACTTGAAGTCACCACAAGGTTAGTGTCCTTGGTTGCAGTCACCACAAGGTTAGTGTCCTTGGTTGCAGTCGCCACAAGGTTAGTGTCCTTGGTTGCAGTCGCCACAAGGTTCGTGTCCTTGGTTGCAGTCACCACAAGGTTCGTGTCCTTGGTTGCAGTCACCACAAGGTCCATGTCCTTGGTTGCAGTCACCACAAGGTCCATGTCCTTGGTTGCAGTCACCACAAGGTTCATGTCCTTGGTTGCAGTCACCACAAGGTTCATGTGCTGAACAGAGTTCAGTACTTTGTAATACTTTTATATGTACACTAAATGTTAATCTCTTAGGACCGTTATTCAACTGTGATATTTCACTAATACAGATACATTCTCCTTGCCCATAGTGAATGGTTCACATTTTTTAAAAAGTGCAAAACCTTTTACAGCTGAACTCTAGGCAGATATAAGGTACACTGATGAATGCAGATCTGTAATCATTATTACAATATATATATAATTTTTTTTTCTTTAACCATGATCTTTTAACCTTGATATTTTTGGCAGGAATTCTGCATTACGTCAGTTTTTATATTATCTTCAATGATATAAAATATACCCAAGAGTTGAGTGACAGGGCTCCAGGTTCTTTCATCTCTGATATTAATTTTTCTCTTAAAAATTCCTTTGTTGGACTGTCTGGAATTATACTGATCCATACAATGATCATAATGATGATTTACAGAAGGTTGTATAAAATGCTCCTACTGTCTTGTGATTTATTGAGTGACCATTTTCCATTCCATCATGCAACAGCTCCATAGATATACTTTTAGGGATAGGATTTCAGTGTTTATTATTTATTTGTATACTTATTTATTTGCTTATTCATTTATTTATTGAGTGAATATTTATAAAATATGTTTATTTTATGTGTGTTTTTGTACAAATAATAATTATATACAATACATAATTATCAAAGTAAAATATTAAAGGGAATGTGTGCACATTATTTTACTATTGTTATGTAAATATGCTTGGATGCGTTTGGGGCATTAATTTATATAATAAAGGCAACTTTAAAGTAAAAATGATTTCCATGGTGGAAGGACCTTTTCTAAATGCATGGTATTTTCAGGTTGGATTGTACTGTGGAAATTTTAGGATATGCCATAAGCTGAAATTAATTTATTGTTATGATTGCGTACAACTTAGAATACAATGTGATAACTTTGTGCAAAGTGTAGCCAGATTTTATCTCTTTATAGTCACATGAGAAAAGAGAATTGGAGGGGCAAATGGAGCTACCAACACAGATAATTGTCTGTGAAGGTTCTCATGCATATAGGTCATGCTATGTCTGTAAAAAAAAAAACTGGACTTGCCGTATTTTTCTTTAAGACATTTTGCTGGCCATCCGATTAGCTTTCTCAATTGAGAATGACTTGCATGGGGTCAGAGACCTCATGGAGGTAAGGTGTTAATTGCATTTGCATGATTGGAGCTAGCAGGGGTTTTAACACCTCTCTCTTGGCGGGTTAATAACACCTGATAGCTCCAATTATGCACTTTACCTCCATGATATCTCTGACCCCATACTGGTCATGTTTAACAGATTATGTTGATTGGAGCAACATTCACCCTATTTATTCCCAGATAATTTCTGTAGTCTGAATTGAGAATGCTATTCGGATGACCAGCTAAACGTCTTCAAAAAAATACAGCTAGTCCAGTAGCCTTGATTTATTTTTTTACAGATACACACAGATGAAGTACTTACAGAATAAAGTGCCAGTTTTTCTGTC